AATTTAACTCGTGGTCGATTCTGACTAAAGCGCTGGGCGACCAGGCCGTATTACATAATATCGTTACACGCGGTCAATATGTCGACCGAGAGTTGGCAGAGTGTTGTGTCAAGTCAAAAGACTGTTGGTTGACACTATCGGTCGGTATGTCAGTCGACACTAGGCTGACACCTTGACTGACATGTTGCAATCAACAGTTGCTGGTGTATCGGTTGACTGTCAGTGCTGTAATGGTCGACTGTTGGTGGTATCCGTGTACTGTTAACTGTTGTTTTGCTGACATAGCAGCCGTCTCCCCACAGGAAACGCAAAAGAAGAGTCTCTACCGTCTATGCTCAGATGTTGATAGAGCGAGGATGCAGCTCAAACTGCCGTCATTTCGAATACATATCTATTGCAACTTGAGATCTCGACAAGCATAGTTGGAAAAAACAGTCTTTGAGATTGAAGAATGTCGCCAGTATGAAAAGTAAAAAATGGACGAGGGCCGCCGAAAGACCCTCTCAAAGGGCTTGAGAAGATTATATAATATTTGAGTAGAGAAGATAGAAGTCAGCAACAAGAGCCGCCCAAATGAGTGTAGTGTTGGCTGAGTGTTGGTGAAGTATCAGTCAAGTGTCGGCCGAGTGTTGGTGAAGTATGAGCCGAGTGTCAGCCAACATACCTGTCCATTGAGTGTCAGTCGACATATCGACCGAGTATCGGTCACTATGTCGGCCATGAGTTGGTCGACATATCAGTCGATAGTATCGACCAATACTCGGCTGACAGATGCCTTAAGTACACATGATCTGAATTTTCTACCCTTAAAAAAGGAAACCACCCTTTACTAAGGGTGCTTTACCTAAGAAAGTGTCATGACACTAACATAATAAGGATATAACCCAATGCCTTAAGAGACTTTACACTAGAAATAGCCACTTCCTCTTAGACTTAGTAGTTCAACCCTATTAAGTCTGGATAACGTGGATGAGTAGATTTTCACCAAAAAAAGTCGTGATTTACTAGGATAACATTTTTTTAAATAGAGTGAAGATTTGAATACTAGATTTCAAAGTATTGAGGAAAACAATTTAATAATATTTCAGAGAGTTTCTTGAAAATATACCTGAAGTTACCAACTTCATTTTCTAAAGTTCAAAGTGCAACTTACTAGTATAAATCACTGTTTATCTCAAATTACAAGTTCATATCTCTTACAATTTGAACAATCTAATCAACATTTGGTTTGCAAACCCAACCTATCTTGTTGACATAACTACTACTCTCTAAAGCAATATACGTGCACTGTTCTGTATGCTAGCTTGGGTTTCACTAGACCCTAATCCACACTTTTCCTAACATACTTACCTGAAATAAGAATTAATCGATCAAACATCACATCTTGAATCTGGGACCTGTGAAGATGACAACAACGCTCGTAAATGACGAAAGTTTCTTTCAAAGTCTATGAACTGAAAGCACAGCAATTTCTAAAGCGGAAGTGATCTTAGCTTTCTCCATTTAACCATCAACGAGTCGTTAAAAACTAAAGAAATACAGTCGCACTGTTAGACAATGTGTAAATGAATGTTTATAAACTAACCACGCAGCAAAATAACTTGAATTTCACTCCTTTATAAGGCAAAAATGCACTGTCACACCTCAAGAAGTCAAGATGCAACCGGAGCATAAATCAAGAGCAAGAATGTCCCAGAAGACACAGCGCACTCCAGCCATGGGATACAATCTGGAATGTAATATGGCATGGACTTCTGAACCGTGGATTAATTATCAATCCTTACCAACCTATGCAGAAGAGAGGATGAATAGTAAGAGAGTTAATCCAGCAGATGCCTTATTCCCAAGCTTGTTATTTAGTTCTTCCACGAATGTAACCATGGTTGTTGTGTGATTGTTTACGTGGAGTCTCTCTGGCTGTGTGCATGTGCAGAAGCGTGATGTCTACAAGGCCAAACACCATGACACCAGCAGTCAATGTTAACAAAACGAGCTATCAGCTCACGACTGTCCCAGAGGGACAAGTGCATAAAAACCGGAATAGGGTAGCTTAAGACTTGTAAATCGTGAATTAATCATCATCCTTTTTAACCTATTCAGACACAAGAGAGAATGAGGAGTAAGAGAGTTGATCCAATAAGGGCCTTGTTCCCAAGGTAATCCCTCCCAAGTTATTTTTAGACGTAGAATCTAGCCCTTTCACGGATGTAACCATGCGCGTCGCGTGGATGTTTTTAAGCCAGTCCGCCTGAAACAGAAAAAGGGAAAGAAACTGATGAAATCTAAGGGCTTGAACAAGCTTTTTTTTTTAGATTTGGTACAATGTCAGGAAACATTTGTGAAAATATTGCCATGCGAGGTGTTAAAGGGAAAAATGTATGGCCTTTCAACTGATAGGGTCCTACTTGTTAAATTAGGGACAAATTTTAAGACGTCTCCTCTATGAAAATTGTCCAGGGCAGGGTATGTCATAAACCACTGTAATTTATTTTAATCATATATGCTTATGTAAGCTTTCTTTGCATTTTGACGGTAAAATCAGCATAATTTGTTAACGTTTTTTACCTTTTTAAGCTTTCAAAGAGATCATAGTTTACACTGGGGAAAATTAAGGAAAAAGGCCCAAAATACTTTGTTTTCTTTAGTTTACTTCAAGCGAAGATCTTCATACATTATTTTTCCTTGGATAGTATCTGTGTCGATACATGAATCAACTTCAATCACACACTTCTTCAATGAATTCACTTATTACCGTTGGGAACCTTTTGTAATGGTAATGTTGTGGTAACGGAGGTTACACGGCATAATGAAAACAAGCTATTTTTCGTGTCTTTTTATCTGAGCATATGTTTGCTTTCCTTCGACAGATGAATCTATAAACTAATTACAATAAAAGAAAAGTCAGTGGAGATGTTTGAACCGTACATGTATGTTTTGATTCGGTTCGATCTCTATTCACTTACGTTTATCAAAACAAACTATTTATAACTTCCTCATACATTATGGGTACACTTGCACTTCACGTTAACTGTTGTCAATAAATATAACTGGTAAATGTTACGTCTTGGGTAGAAATTTAAAAAAACTTTGGATTAAGCTGTTTATGTAAATGCAAATATTATTAGTAGTCACATAACAGAAATGGTAACGGAAGTTACTTAGTCATAAACATTTACATTCGGACCTGGTAAAGTTGCATATTGGATTGACGCTTTGTAAACAGGTTCTCGGTCATTGCAACAGTCTCATCAGTCAGCCTGTGCTGTTGCTTTGATCGTCGAAAAGGAGGCTCAATTATGGCCAGAAAAGACATCAGGTGTTACAGCCTTTTTCAGCAAACTAACTTGCTTTGGAGACCTTTGCAGGAAGGTGACACTGGCATCGCCATTCATTGGTTGTTATCTCTACCATCTGTCAATTCTTAACTTACTTCAAACAGCATTACGTTACTTCGTAACACGAGGTAACGGAGGTTACTGTAACACTCGATAAAAGAGGTTACTATTTGTCTGATTAATATTCAATATTTCCAAGAAAATTAGTTCAAGTGGAATGATTTTCTGAGAACGACATGGTTTCAAGGTCATCTGTATTATATTAAAACTTAAGCACTATGGCTAAAACGTGAAGCAGAAATATTTAGGTAACGGAGGTTGCCCTCTTATCCATAACCTTCCTCTCTACTGGGCTTAAAGGAAAAAAACGTTACTTTTGAAATGTAGGATCCGTGGTTAGTGTTCATAAGTCGATTAATGATTTAAATAGCAAGAAGCAATTCCACGATCACAGATCCGATAGTCTTTACTGATTTCAATCGCTTAGGTTTGTTCCATTTGTGAAGTAACGGAGGTTACTAATATTCTGTGGACACCTCTGTTACAATGACTATGAAGAATATTGCTCAGACGTAACAGAAGGATCCCTCATTTTGAAGTGTTTTAAGTGTACTTTACTGTTAAAGACTTATACCAGTGAAATTTTCAGCTTCTGCTAGACATGGACTTGTTTTGATAAGAACATGGACTGCGGACAACAATTTTTCAGACACCTGAGGCACTTAAAGGGCATAGAATGTAAGAAAGAAACCAACAACTTAACGACTCTGTACCTTGATTGTGAAACACCCCTTTCATACTTGTAAATCATGTGGAACAGAAAAAAATCAGATTACCTTATTCTTTAGAATGATTTCATACCCAAAGACACTAAAAACTCCTATTGGCCTGCTTTAAGGCAGATTGACTGTTTTGTGGCCTGTTCCAGGCTCTCGGTAAGATAATAAACTAAGATAACAACTTTATTTACGTGTCAACGAGATTTAGCTTTGCTGCTAATTGGAGACACCTAAAGCGAGCTACACTTATCAGGACTATGTACAAATTCAATTTTTAAACACTATAATTATTTACAAGATAAAAGCCTATCTATCAAAATAAGGATACAAAAGTGAATAAAGTTACAAATAAAGTTAACTAAGAATGATAAGAATGAAGAAAGTAGTCAAGTTGAACACATATGACATTTGCACCACTGCTTTCATCAATTAAAATGTTTAAATCCCTTTACCTGATGTTATTTTTAAAATTCTTTAAAATCAATGATTTAACATGATTAGGAAGTCTGGCCCATAGTTTTAAACCCAAATACTACACTGAATGTTTTCCACAAGTCACTGTCTTGAATCTTGGAATCATTAATCACAAAGTCTGCATTTCTCAAATTAAAGTTGCTTTGTTGTCTTTTAAAGAGATCGATTCGATTATATACTGTGGTCATAAGTTGTTCTTAACTTTAAACGTTAAAATTGCTATATCCTGGAGTCTTCGATTTAACAATGTTGGCAATCCAGTAGTAGTTAGCAGTTTTTCATAACTTGAAGCTGTGTCGCGGTAGATAGCTCTAAGTGCCTTTTCTTGGATCCTCTCCGCTAGTTTATGTCTATCAAAAGCTTTAATGGAGTGCCATATAACAGAGCAGTAAAATTGCTGACTTCTAAAGCTGAAGCTTGACTTTCTCTGGAATGAGATCAATCAATCAATCAATCAATCAATCAATCAATCAATCAATCAATCAACTTTATTGAAATGTCTAAAACTCCTAGTCTGCCCGGAGGCCGACTAATCCGGGACGCTCCCAATAAAATTACTAAAATTACTACTAAATCAAGTTAAGTTAAGTTAAGTTAAAATTACCTGTCACTTGTTACAGTATATATACAAATCTAGAATTCCATTTATATTTAAAATACGAACTATAATATAGTAATTTCTACCTAAACAACTACATACAAACTTTGAATATGTCTAAAATTCTAAACACAATTTTCAGATTTCTTAAGCGCATTATGACACCGACAAGTCTCCCTGCCTTAACCACAATTGAGTTAACATGTTGTGTAAAATTAAGTTTATCGTCTATAATAATAACCAAGAGTTTCATAAGATTAGTGGGCTCTATCGGTGCTGTGCAATCAAGGGTAATAGTGACTGACACTGCTTCCTCCTTATTTGCATTTAGTGTCATTGTCAGAAATTTATCTTTGTTTGCAAGAAGTGAATTTTCCGTATATCACTGAGAGGCTAGCCTTACTCGTGCATGAGTTAATTCCGCTTTCTTTGCGTCCATATTTGATGCGTAGAGCTGATGGTCATCAGCAATCATTGAGATTTGAGGGAAACAAAATTTACTGTTCCTCAAGGGACCAGTCATCAAGTGAATTGTTATATAGCAAAACAAATGGTTCAAACCAGTCGAAAACAAATAATCACTTTATAGACAAATGACGTGCAACAGCGGTTAACTTTTCGCGGGTAACAGTGAACTGTTTCCCGTTTGACGTCATAGTTTTCGCAATGTTGCCCGCTCATGGCATTTGGCGGGAAACAGTTTCATTTTCAAAATATGTCGAGGAAAAGGATGTTGTTGTTCGTCGTGTTAGATGCAATAATAAAGTGTTTTATCGTTTGTCTCACGATGCAGTCACTTGAGATGTAGATCGCGACGTTTCGACTGCTTATTGCTAGTCCTCTTCGGGCGATAAGTTTGACTGACTACGTGACACCATTTACATCAAGAAGGCCGGGCTAAGTGGGTTACCAACTTGTAGGACACTTAGCAAGGCTGAGGTGTCCTTACTGAAGAAAGGTCTGAATTTTGTCGTGACTCCTGCGAGCGTGCCAACCACCAAGATTATCACCATTGAATTAGCAGTCAGACCACTCGATACGGAACGAGTAGACACAGTCAGGAGAGCTGTCAACACCATCCTTCAACGGGCACGACCAGCCACGCCTAACACCACGAAGGAACAGCAGGAGACCCTTAAAAGCCTCCATGCTCCACTCCACCATGGTCCTTCTGGCTGATAAAGGTCGCACCAGAGTAATCTTGGACGCTGACATATACCACGCCAAAAGGTCACCGCTAATTGACTCAGGACCGTATCAGCTCCTAACAAAGACCCGACAGACCGGTTGACCCGGAAACTATCCGAGAAGGTGCTGACCCTGAAGCGGAATGGACACATATCAGAGTTTTTTTATAACAAGATCAGACCCCTACACAAACAACCACCTAGGATAAATGATTTACCTGAGATCCACAAGGCCGACACACCGCTTAGACCAATTGTGTCATGTGTCAACACCTTTGTATACAATTTGCCTGCTTTCTTGGCTAAAATTGTATCTCCTCTAACAGGCAACTCGAACTTCACAGTGAAAAACTCAGCTCACCTGGTATCCACCATTGGTAGTGAAAAGATCCAGGAACACGAGATCATGGTGCCCTTCGACATAGAGGCTAGTCGCTGTTTACCAACGTACCTATCGAGTACAAGCCGGGCTACGGAAGATGGAGAGTGACGCAGACCTGGCTGACCGCACGACGCTAACGCCAGTTCAAGTATTAATCGCGGACCTCTTGGATTTTGTATTAAGATGTACATACTTCCAGTATAACGGATCGATTTACGAACGAGACGGCGCAGCCATGGGGAGCCCGGAAACATTTGAAGAACAAGCAATAGAGTCTGCACCTTGCAAGCCTAAGATCTGGAAGCGCTACGTTCATGACACCTTCACCATCCTAGATCGGGATAGGGTGGAAGTCTTCTTACAACACCTAAACAGTCAACAACCATCAACCCGTTTCACCATGGAGATCGAGAATAACAGCAACATCGCCTTTCTCGACACGTCAGTTTACAGAGGAACAAATGGCCGCCTTACCAGCGGTGTCTACAGGAAGTGAACACCTATTCATCAGTTCCTAGCGTATGATTCACACCACACTCAGTCAGTAAAGCGCGGTATTGTGAAGTGTCTGTACGACCGGGTTAAACGTCTCGTGACTAAACCATCAGTAATCGCTGGAGAGAAGAAACACCTGTCATCTGTACATATACATTTACAAACATATACATTTACAAACATATACATTTACAAACATATAATTTGTTGTTTGTTAGGGAGAAATATATTTAAAATGATAGTTATCGTTAGTTACAGTGTACTAAAATGTGAACTTTTAACTCTTAAATAATCACGTTGTTGTGTACACGGATTCAACATCCTTACATGCAATAATTATATTAGCCATTATAATATAGATGGGACCCTGCGCGCGCTATGATTGGTCAACAGCCCATCTTTTATCAGAATATACAACATAGAAAAAGCGTGCTTTACTGTTTTGCGCGTGTAAAATCTATATCATAAAGCAAATGAAGAAGCCTAAGCCATGTATTACACTGTGATAAAACACTCCGGACATTTGAGAACACTCGAAAAATGAAGAAAACACTCCTCTGCGGCTCGTGTTTTCTACATTTTCCTCGTGTTTTCAAATGCCCGTCGTCTTTTAACACAGTGTAATACACGGCTTAGACTTCTTTATGTGTTTAATAATTAGACATAAAAGTTAAGCTTGCTTTTTCTGTTTATGTCACATGGTTAACATTGGTGTGAGAAGGGAATTTGGAGAAGAATGCATCGCATGAAGAGTGCCTTTTTAGGAGACATTACTGCCTTCTCACACTTTGGGAATTTCATTAAACTACCTTTCGTTTCGTGAAATATCCGATAGGGGATCCCGGGTGACGCCTCGCGTACCACGGAATATCCGATAAGGGAATCTCGAGTGACACTTCACGTACCGTGAAATATCCGATAGGGGAATCTCAAATGACACTTCACGTACCGCATGGAATATCCGATCGGGGAATCTCGAGTGACACTTCACGTACCGCATGGAATACCCGATAGGGGAATCTCGAGTGAAACTTCACGTACCATGGAATACCCAATAGGGGAATCTC